ATTATAATACAAAAATAATTTTTTTCAGTGTTCCAGTGTTTGTATTTAGTGATTTAGTTTTTTTTTTTTTTTTCCTCACACGGCAAAATTTATTAAAAAATCATTGGCGTCTCTAAAAATTCCACTTTTGGATTGGCAAAGGAACTCCCCAGATCTAAACACCATATAATATGTATGGGAGCGATTAAAGAGAGAAATTTCGCTAGAAAAGTTCACAAATAGGACCCAGTTGATTGAAGAAGTTATTTGACATTGAAACCATAAAGCACATTTGAAAGAAATGGCTTTTTAGTATGCCAAATTGTTATTGTGCAGTTACAAAATATAAGGGAGGATAAACAAAATATTAAAAATTTATGTTAATAAACATATTCTTATTGTTATTTGTGTGAAAAAAGTTTTTATCTGTATTTTTATAAAAACATCAGTTTTACCTCTAAGAAGATGAAAAATATAAAAAATATCAGAGTGGGCTAATACTTTGATCGGGAACTATACATTAATGATCTTCCTGACAACCTTACATCTAAAGTAGTTTTTTTTTTCCTGATAACTTTACTGTATACTCTAATCTTGACAAAAAGTTTTCTCATTCTGATTGCTTCAAACACATAACATAAGTATCTTTAACATAGATGGCAGTTGCATGATATTTCTCGCAACATTTTTTCAAAATTCAAGACTTAGAAATGAAAATTTCAACCATTCATCAAGACTATTTCAAGTTTACAAAGCAAAAGAAGACCAGGAAATGGAATCACAAGGGGCTAGGTATGTCAAATCTCCCCTCTTAATACAAAACATTTTCAATTTTTTCAATCTGGACATATGTATTTACATATATAAATAAATATAATATAAATATAAATAAAGCAAAAAAGACTTTTGTTAAAATAAAGATTTAAAGTTTTTGCTAGCTATTTTTTTTAACTTTTTTTTTTTTTTTTTTGCCCCCACAACAGCACCTTTTTGAGTGGCAGGACAGCAGACTTATTAATTTTTTTCTTTAATAAGTTTCAGACCACAATTTTTTTAGACCATTTGCAGCTTATTAATATGTAATTAGTCCTAATTACCTAAGCACATAGGACGGATATGTAATTTTTGAAATTATCTCTTATCCCAATAGTGTTCTACTTTTATAAAAATTAAGAATTAAATGTTTTTGAGTAATTTAATAAATAAAAGTAAAAATTAAGTATTATAGTGAAATAATATAGTAATTGCGCTAATTCATTTTTGAATGAATAAACATTTGATCACTATTGCTTACTATTTTTTCACTATAGTTCACTATACTAAATATACTATAGTATCACTTCTAAATTTTGGAAAAAGAAAAAATATATATACATATATGTATATATATATATATATATATATATATATATATATATATATATATATATATATATATATATATATATATATATATATATATATATATATATATATATATATATATATATATATGTGGAAAATATTAACTTTTATATAAAAGTTAACATTTTTCAAGTTATTTTCAAACTTAGTCGTATATATTGTATCCCCCTCTTGTCTCTTTTTCCCCTTGTTATCTTGACCTCCTCTTTCACCCTTTTGGGTAACATTATTTGCAACCTAAAGCTTATTAAAATCTTAAAAATATTTGTTTTAAATAAATTTTTATATATATTTAGGTAGCGTACGCTACTTTAGTTACACCCATAGTGAAATTCTTCTATTTTAAAAATTCCTAGAATTTCTACAGAGACGCCATTTTAAACCAACTCCTTAAGTTCCTTAGACCATTAAAAATGATAGATGCAGCATTTTCGTAAATCTTTGAAAGAAAATCTTTCAGCTAATGTGATGTCACTTTGTGGCAAAAAACTAGAAAAAACAAATTAGAAATAAAATTTTATTTAAATTTTTTAGAAAAATTCTTTTTATTAGAAATATATAGAATATATTTTTATGGGATATATTCTAATAAAGACTAAATATAGTAATTACTATGCCATTTCTTAAAAACTATTTATTCATTACTATTGTAATTAATACAAACTCATATCCTTAAAATAATATATCTGTACCACTTTTAAATCATTTTGTGCTAATTAAGATTAATCAAAAAATATAAGATAAATGCAAAAGTAATCTCGACCTAAAATAGCATTTTTTTGCTACAGACTGACGTCTCTAAGCAAAACTTTTAGATTAGCATTATATAGCAAAGGCCACGTCTATTATTTTTAATAGTCTAAGTTAAGTTCAGATGAAACTGGATAAACTCAAACATAAGTAATATTTAAGAATCTTGGTCACAGCAACAGTTAGGTAGTCATCACTGGGGAAGGGGGCACCTCTACAAAACCCTGTCCTCTTATTCTCCTACAATATTTAACATATCCGGCATACCCGGCTGGATATAAAAATATATATCCGGTATATCCGTATCCGGCCGGATATGTAAAAAATAATATCTGGTACACCTCTAGTTTTTTTGTTGTTTTTTTAAATATATAAGTATTTTTTCTACTACAATCAAAAAATCAATTTTATGTATAATTTTTTACTTAATCACAAAAAATATTTGTGATTAAGTAAAAAATTATACAAATATATATATATATATATATATATATATATATATATATATATATATATATATATATATATATATATATATATATATATATATATATATATATATATATATACCTATATAGTGTAGTCGAAAGAGTGTTTTAATGTAAAAAAAGTCTCTTACGACTACAATTTTAATTACCTCGTCTCTTAAGCTGTTTTTGATTGTCATCGAAATGTCAAAGCAATTAATTTATGCGGAATTACATTAAATTTAATTGTTTTTTAAAAAATTTTTAAAAAACCGCAATTATAACGACTAGAAAGTTTTTTTTAATTAGTGGTGTTTTTGTTATTGATTTAATAAAAATCATTTTTAAAACATGCGTAAATGTTGCTACATCGACTATCTTATAGCCTGACTCGCAACAGAGTGCTGCTACATCGACTGACAAATAGCCTGACTCCCAACGGAGTGCTGCTACATCGACTGACAAATAGCCTGACTCGCAACGGAGTGCTGCTACATCGACTGACAAATAGCCTGACTCGCAAGGGAATGCTGCTACATCGACTGACAAATAGCCTGACTCGCAAGAGAGTGCTGCTACATCGACTGAGGGTTTGGTTTGGCCAGGCAGTCTATCAATTAAAAAAAAAAATTTAATTTTTAAAACTTTTTCTGGTCTGGTTTATTAACGCGCTCTTTAAAACTACAGTTTATGGGAAACTTTTTTTGATGCCATGCCAGAGACATGCAAGAGTATATATATATATATATATATATATATATATATATATATATATATATATATATATATATATATATATATATATATATATATATATATACTTGTATAATATATATATATATATATATATATATATATATATATATATATATATATATATATATATATATATATATATATATATATAAATACATATACATATATGTATATATATATATATATATTTAATTTTTTTTTACTTGCTTTATTATTACTTTGTTTTAGAAGCCAGCCAAAATCATGACACAATTATACATATTTTGTGATCCTTAGAGTTTGCAGGCATAGAAAAAATAAAGTGGATATGAAGCATCTGGTAGCGGCTTTCGAGTATGCTTCACAATTTATCTTGTTTTGTATATAAATTTCCATTCTTGACACATATAATTTGTTTGTTCTAAAGGTTTAATTAATTATCTGCATAATCAAAAGAAAAAAAAAAATAAGAGCGTAATTGTGTAATTATAAAAAAGTTATCACTTGACAGAGTTAAAAAATATTGAATAAACCTTCATAAAAAAAACTTCTTTAAATTTAGTTTTAAATCAAAACAGCGTTAACACTGTAAAATTTAACTTAGATGTGTTAAGTATTTACTTAGTTTTTGGTCTTAAAGTTTAAGTTACTATTTATAAAAACAATGGTTTTAAGCACTTTGCATTTCTTATTGTTTATTATGTGAGTTAAAAACTTATTTAACTAAAAAGTACATTTGTTTAGCTTTCTATTGATATATAGTTTGTTATGCTTTTTTATTAGTAAAATAATTTGTTTAATATTTATTTTCTACTTAGTTCAGTTTATATGTTTTATTCAAATCACTAGTTTTTTATTCAGTTTATACTTTAAATTAATTTATACCCTTTAGTAAAATTATTCTTTTAGTATCTAGTTTATATTTAGTTTAAACCAATACATTTTACTTCAAATATTCATTATATATTAAATTTTTATTTTTATAAATTTTATAAATTAAATATTTAATTGTATAACAAACTTTTTTTTGGGATTTAGTAAAAAGTTATACAACTAACATGATTTGGTAATTGTTGCAAAAAAATAATACCATATCTATAAAGAAAAAATTTATACGATAGCGTCATATACTGAAACTGTTATAAATTAAACATGCCAATGTTTAATTTATAACAGTTTCAGTATATGACGTTAGTCTATCAGCATATTAACAATGAAAAGGTAAAAGCAACAATATTATTACTTAGACAAGATCAGAAATGACATATCTATATTTAGATAGGGCCAAAACCTAAAAAGCAGGTGAAATATTCTTATATTTTGAATTAAATCTATATGTGTTAATATATTGAACTACATCTTTATGTGTGTTAATATAGGATGCCAATATGAGTGTATTGGGTTGTAAATATATTTTTAAAAAGCTGAAACATTGTAAAACAATTTTGTGATGCATGAATTTTCTGATGCATGAATGACATGATTAAAAGGCAAAAATATTCTCAGAAAACTTTGTGAAATATTTGTCCGACACTGCTGGGTGGCAAGAATATTATCAGACAATATCTTAAAATACACTGTTTAGTATTCTTATATTATACAGACATTATTTGAAAAAATTATTTTAGTATATAAATATTATCATTCCACTTGGTGAAAACTTACTTGGATGGCCTCTGTATGCACCAGGAGAGTTATCTAATATAAATATTTTTGATAGATCTGGATTGATCACAGTTAAGTCTTTTGAAAACGCCCCATTATCCATTTTACAATGCTAGAAAATAAAATTCCATAATTTAAATAAAAAAGGAAAAAATACAAAATTTAAATGAATCAAAAATACTTTGTGAAACTTTAACAAAAGTATAAAACATATTTGGTACTACTTCCAAAATACTTGAAGATCTAAACAAATCATTGAAGAGCTAAAACAGATCATCAAAAAAACTAAAACAGACCATTGAAGAGATAAAATAGATCACTGAAGAAATAAAACAAATCATTGAAGAGATAAAATAGATCACTGAAGAAATAAAACAGACCATTGAAGAGATAAAATAGATCACTGAAGAATTAAAACAGACCATTAAGGAGATAAAATAGATCACTGAAGAAATAAAACAGATCATTGAAGAGATAAAACAGATCATTGAAAAGCTAAAACAGACCAAATTATGTTGATGCATTTTGTTAAACTTTAAGAAAAAAGATTTAAATGATACTAACAAATAAATTAAGGTACTTGTCTATAATATCTTCTAGTTAAAATTCCTTTATTTCTATCAAGTTTATCAGCAACAGCAGACCCATAAACTTCCATACTTGCTGTAAACACAACTAAATCAAACCACTGACCAATCTAAAATAAGTAAAAACAACATCGAAGTATAAAAATTTAAAGCCTTAAAAAATTGTTTTAAAGTTAAACACATATGGTAACTATGGTAATAAATTTTTGTATTTTTTTTTGTAAACAGAAATTTAGCTAAGGTTACAGTAAATTAATTTTTCCTATTGCTTTTGTCGTAAATTTCTACTGAAAGGAGAAAAAATTCCATTTTTTACTAAATTTAGAAAACTAATTTTCAACATGTGTCGTTTAACTGATGTAAACTTTTTCAAAAAATATAAATAACTTTATCTATTTTAATTTTACAAGTATACCCTAGCATACCTTAGCATACCCCTAGCTCATTTTTCAAGGGAACTTGTAGTTACATAGTCGTTTGAAAAAATATCTTTTAGTATAAGAAATTTTTGTACATATGATTCTAGGATAATTTCAGTATAACAAATGTTTGCAAACATGATTCTAGCATCTAGATTAACAACTTTAGCAATATTTAGACTGTCTGAATAAATTGCATTTTCTTTATTTTTTGGGGCTTGTACAAAAGAATTACTAATTAGAATCTAGGATTTTTTTGATGATAATATAAAGTAATTTATTTAATGTTGCATGCATCATCAGTTAAAAACTAAAATAATTAATTAAATAGTCTAATTTAAGTTTTTTTTAAATTCATTATATATATCATTCAAAATTTTATATAGGGAGATGGGGTATTACTATGCACCCGAAATTTTTTATAATAGGGGTATGGGGTTGGGGTATGGGTGATGAGGTATGGGGATGGGGGATGGGATAGGGTATTACTATGCACCCAAAATTCTTTTTTTTTTTGAAGCAATCAACTCCTGAAGTGTTCTACTTTTTCAATTAAAGAAATAACTTTTTAGGCTGTCCAGGAAAGCTGGGATTTTTTTTTACTAAACAACTTACATTCAAAATTATTAACAAGTATAAACTAGGAAATTAATGTTTAAATGTGGCAATGGTGTAGTGGTCAAGCATTGAAAGCATAATGTAGAAAGAACCAACTTACCAAGTAGAGACTTGCTAATCTGTACTCAACTTATTTATTTGTGCAACAGGCTTATTTATAAAATTATAGAGTTGAGAGAAAGTGGAAAATAGAAACTATAAAAATTATTAAAATAAACCTCAACTGTAGTGGCCTCTAAGCTGAAACAGAAGTCTTCTAATGAAAGTAAGTTAATATTGATTAAAAATTGAAGCTATTATCTGTTTTGAGTGAAGAAAGTAATAAGATATAAAATAGTATAGAAGTAAGATGTAGATAAAAAGTAGATTTAAGAAGATTTAAAGTAGATTTGAATCAAAATATCTCTAAAAATATCTCTGGGAACGGACGAATTTCCATTTGGCAACACGATAATTGATATGAAGTAATAAGCCATACAATCAAATCATGTGCAAAACAAATGTTAGCAAAATACAAAACAACATCTTGGAATTAACATCACCAGAGATAAAACAACAGACTCTCTTAACCAATGCAACTAACTAGCAATCTTTGTATACTAATTGAGTGAACAGTCTACAGATGTGATAATCCTTATTTAAACATTTTAATAAATAATAAATTATTAAAAAGCCATTCAAACAAATTCATTAATTTTGCTCTTTGGTAGTTTAATCACACTCTTTAAAAAAATGAGCTTTACGGTGTAGTGAATTCATTTTATAACATTGGATATTGTTAATAATCTAGTAAACTTTGTTTTAAACGAATAATGATATGTTTTAATAACTTGGAATATACAAAAAATTTTGAAAATATAATCAACACCACAAAAATATTTACAATATCAAGAAAGAAGTCAGCATGTGGCCTTTTGTGTACATAGAAACGAACAGGATGTCTGTCTATTGTAACCTATAAAAAACAATCAAAATGTTTACCTATTGTTTGCAATGAATTAGCACATTTTATTCAAAAAAAAGAATTTATAAAAACTGATACCATAGTAAAAATAGCAATAATAATAATATTATTAATAACCTTTAAAACAAAATCAGCAGGTGTTGAGTACTTGACACTTGGTCTTGCCAAACTAAAAAAATTTATTCTGAATGTTAGCATTAAAATAAAAGTTTTGTAAACATTTTAACTTTTTAGGTTATAAATTATAAATTTTTTGATTTTTTCTTTTTGAAAAAAACCTTTGTCAAAATTTAATATCCTTTTTGAAGTGTCTTTACAGTTTCATAAAAAACTTCCTTTTTGTAAAACTTTATAAAAACTTCTATTAATTAATTATTTTCATGTAAAAAAAAATTGTAAAAAATAGTAAATGAATAATTTTTGCGATAACTGTACAAATACTTTATAATATTTAAATAAAATGTATATTTAAAATGATATGGTATAAATGAATATTGTTGGTCTAAATTCATTACCACATATCTCAAAAAATACAATTTTGTGGTTTCAATGTTTTTAAACTCTTATTTACTGTATGTACTTTTGTTAAAACCAAAAAATTCAAAGAATGGAAAGTTGTATTAAACTTTGAATTTTTTATAATTTTGAATTTTCAGTCATAGACTGATAATAAACTGATAGCATTAGTTCAGTTTTTTGCTTTACCTGTTGAATTTAAACCAATAATATGCTAAAGTTGTATATGCAACAATACTTAAACCAACACTATGCTTAAGTTGTATATGCAACAATACTTAAACCAACACTATGCTTAAGTTGTATATGCAACAATATTTAAACCAACAATATGCTAAAGTTGTATATGCAACAATATTTAAACCAACAATATTCTAAAGTTGTATATGAAACAATATTTAAACCAACAATATGATGATGTTGTGTATGCAACAATACTCAAACCAAGAATATGTTAAAGTTGCAACAATATTTGAATATGTTACCGTTAGATTTTAAATAATTCTAAATTTTTTAATTTCCTCTTATATATCAAAAAAAAATGCAGTTTTCTACTTTTAGCAACTAAGGCACCTACGGAAACAAATAAACATCACAACTCCAAAAAAAAGACCAAAAAAACAACACCCATTCAATTACTAGTCTACCTTACCTTATCAGTAAGTAATATAATGACAACAACAACAACAACAACAAGATATTTATTTTCCTCAAAATTTACAATAATATAATAACAATAATATAATAATAATAATAATAATAATAAAAATAACAATAATTACAATAATGGCAATAATAATAATAATAATAACAATAGTAATTTTAAAAATAATAATAATAACAATAATAACTTTATTCATTAATAGAGCAAAAGTAACACCAAAAATAATAGTATTTATAATAATTGTAATAATAATAGTAACAATAAAAACAGCAGTATTAACAATAAGCAGTAATAAAAACAGTAGCAAAAAATTTTCAATAATTATTCAATAAATAACAAGTTACTTTAATTAACATAACTTGATTGCTGAAGAACAACATGAAGAAAATATGAAGAAAACATGAAGAACAACATGAAGAACAACATAAAGACCAACATGAAGAATAACAAAGAACAACATGAAGAACAACATAAATTCACTTAAGATAAATCAGTAATCACAACTTATTGAAACAATATGTGTAGTCATCAATGCTTTAAACAGAAGATTTTGATGGTTTGCCTTAACAAATGCATTTGGTTCAGTAGATCTACTACTTTCAGCTTTGAAAAATTTACTTACTAGCTACTTAACTTCTTCCAAGGGTTTTAACAAAATATGTACTAATTGACTACTCGACTTCAGGTAACAAAGAGTTATAATTAAAAATACTTCCAGTATAATTGGTGTACCTTTAGACAAGGTTTTATCACCACTCTAAGCAAATTTATTTACAAATTACATGTATAGATTTGTCAACAGCATTTGCAAGCTATTTGTAGATAACAGTAAATTGCCTTAACCAAAACCTGCTAAGCCTGCTAAAAACCTGCTAAGCCTGCTAAAAACCTGCTAAGCCTGCTAAAAACTTGCTAAGCCTGCTAAAAACCTGCTAAGCCTGCTAAAAACCTGCTAAGCCTGCTAAAAACCTGCTAAACCTGCTAAAAACCTGCTAAGCCAGCTAAAAACCTGCTAAGCCAGCTAAAAACCTGCTAAAAACCTGCTAAGCCTGCTAAGCCTGCTAAAAACCTGCTAAGCCTGCTAAAAACCTGCTAAAAACCTGCTAAGATTGAAAAATATTACAAAATGATCTCAAGTTTACAGCAAAAAAAATTAATTGAGCAAACAAATCAAGCTACCCAACTACATAACTACCCATGATAGAATAATGATCAAATTAAACAAAATAAAATATATATCATAAAATGTTAACCATTTTTAAACTATTATCAAAAATTTATACATATAGGGTATTCTTCTTAAAATTCTTAAAATTTTGTAGAACAATAACAATAAATATTCCCATAATCGCAAAAACGCTGTAAAAAAAATATTCCTGGCTAACTCCCTGTATACATATATAACTATATCATATAAATATATATATATATATATATATATATATATATATATATATATATATATATATATATATATATATATATATATATATATATATATATATATATATATATATATATATATATATATATATATATATATATATATATATATATATATATATATATATTTGAAAAATATGGGTTCTGAAGAAGTCTGGAAAAATAAAAAAAGTAAAATAAATAAAAAATAACTTAAGTGTTATAAAAAATATTTCTGTAGCAATGCTTTAAAATAACTTTCACTGTTAGAACTTCTAGTTACAATCTAAGATTGTTGGTTTTAAAAACTTAATTATCAAAATACTAGTTAACAAAATAATTTATTGATTATAATAAAACTGATAAAATTAAAGATTCATAATAAAATTTTCAATTTTTTAAATAATATAAATAACATCTATGCTAGAGAGATATATAAAGAAATTATAAATAAATAACAACAGTAAATATGCAAGTGGATTAGATATGAAAAAAGGAGATTTATAGCGTATTTAAATAAGTATAAAAACCAGCCTATCAATTAGCATTATAAAAAACAGCCTATCAATTAAGATTATAAAAACAAACCTATCAATTTGCAGTATAAAAACTAGCCTATTAATTTGCAGTATAAAAACCAGCCTACCAATTTACTTAAGGAGCAACAATAATATTGTAGAATATGATGACATTTCTCTAGCTGCAATGAAGAATTACTGCATATCTACAGATGCGATAAAAGTAGAAATTGATTATACCAATACTTCTGGGAAAATAGTAGTTGCTTACATCCAAATCTTTCATGGATTCAACCAGGGATCTGACTCTAATGCAGTTTGTCTATACCTAGTTAAGAAAATTACAGCAGACATTTCTGATTCTTTTCTTTTTGCATTTTTTTCTCCTTTCATTTCTGTGTTCTTTCTACATGCAATCTTATTTTAGCTTTAAAATTGTCAATTAAAAGTCAATATTTGCAAAACATCCTCATAACTTATTTTAATAATATAATATGATCATATATATGTACGTATATATATATATATATATATATATATATATATATATATATATATATATATATATATATATATATATATATATATATATATATATATATATATATATATATATATATATATATATATATATATATATATATATATATATATATATTCTTGGAAACCATATATAAAATCAATTAGAAAATTAGCATCTGCTAAAGTTGCATCTCTTTATTGAGCTCGACAATTTCTTACTCTGGATTCTATTCTCTATCTCTTTAAATTTCAAATCCGGCCTTGAATGGAATACTGTTGCCATATCTGAGGTGGATCTTCTAATGATGCCCTTTCTCTTTTAGACAAGGTACAAAATCTCATTGTAAACATAGTTGGACCTGCTCTTGCAGCCAACCTTCAACCATTATTACATCGTTGTAATGTTGCTTCTCTTTCTCTTTTCTACAAATACTATAATGGGCACTGCTTTAAAGAGCTAGCGTCTCTTGTGCCATCTACTAAAATTCATTCTTGTGTTATTCGTCATTTAATTAAGTCGCATCCCTTTTCTTTTCCTAAGTGCTCCAAAAACTCTTATTTGTCTAGTTTTTTTCCTCGAACATCAGTTCTTAGGAATTCGCTTGCTTCCCTGAATCATATCATTTGCAATTTTTTAAGTCGTCTGTCAATTGTTATCTTGCTCTACAATCTTCGTATTTTCTCTTCCAGTAACTTCCAACACTAATTAGTGGTTGCTCGCAGCCTTGTTGGAAGCAAAGATGTTTAAATATATATATATATATATATATATATATATATATATATATATATATATATATATACATATATATATATATATATATATATATATATATATATATATATATATATATATATATATATATATATATATATATATATATATATATTATAGTTAAATATATAATTAAATTTACAAAAAGTAACTTAAAATGGTCACAACTTTTAAATAAAACCTTTTTCAAATAAAAACTGTCTATAAATTTTAACTTTTTATAAATATTACATTTGGGATGGGTTCTACAGGTTTGAGTAGGATTTTTCCTACAAAAGTATTTTTTAGTTAAAAATTGTGAATGATTTAAAACAAATTGGGAAATAATAAATAATAAATATTATACATTTTTTAACGAGAAAAGAAATTTGTATAAAACTATAAATCCTTATGTTTAAGATACATTAAAAAAAAAACTAACTTTTGGGGGTCCAAAGTTGAGGTATAATATTGTTACTAGATGAGGATCATTGTAATTTTTTCATTCATTCAAAACATTCTTATTTGACATTAGTATAAATATTAAAATCTTGAAGTATGCAATATTTCTGGAAATTATCCTAAACACTAAAAATTTAAGACCTGCTTTTTAATCCCTCCCCCTTCTTTTTTCTACTCTATGAAGTGTTTTTAAAATAACTTTAATGTTTTTTAATAATGTTTTCAAAGTACCGGCATTACCACAATGCGATTCATTTCGGCAATGCTGTAAATTTTGATAATTAGACAAGAAATTGGGGGCGCTTAGTTACAAATGCAATATTTAGTTAGGTAATCGCGATGCTGTCATTTTTATAGAGTGAATGACTTGAAGTTATATTGTGAGTTACTTTTTATTGAAAAATTAAGTACGGTTTAATGCAATTTTTTATCATATACAAACCTTGTATGTGATTTTTTTGTAATTGTGATGATAAGTGGTTTTTCTTTCATATTCATAGCCAATGCAATTAAAAGTTTTTATCACATGACAAATTGAAACCATCTCATTGATCAGACTGTTACAAGGTTTTGCAAGTACATGTATACCACTTTATAGAAACGTTTTACATCATAAACAGAAATAGGCCAAAGATGGCTGTTATGAGGTTTTGTGACAATAATTGAAAAATATGGCTTTTTTGCTAACCACCAATGAAGTAACGCTGGTGCTTAGTTATAACTGCATATTATGCAATTATAACCAAGATTTTAATAAAGTATACTGGTTTCAAAAATGTAATTCATTTCTGGTGTACTTGTCATTTTCATTTAAATTATTTCCACTAGGGCATGATATACATATTTAATATATAATAACACATAAAACTTCACCTACCCATTGTGATGAGAATGAATAACAATACATAAAGTTCCACTTACCCATCGTGATGAGAATGGATAAGTGTTTCATCAAGATCTAAAACCATAACTTTGCGAGGTACAAGTCCTATTAGGTAAACAAAACAATTGTGAGAACCTGGTCATTTTAATGCAATATTTCAAGGTTTATAGACTTTAAACACCAGGGTTAATAACACAGTTTTACAATAAGCTGTTAACACAAAGAAAAGAAAAGAACCACCTTTTAATTTAATAAACTAGCATCATAACATTAGATTATAAAGTATTAATACATATAAGCCAATAAAAAATATGTTAAAAAAAAATAGGTTTTTTTTACTGTTTTTAACATTATTAAACACTATAAAACGTCATTATTCAAGTTTAAGAACATATAAATCATACTACATAAACACAAAACTATAAAAATGTATTCACTAATATTCACTTTTTGTATTAGAATTGGAAAAGCATGGAGCTGCACAAAGTCTTACATTACATTCTAAACATTCATATCTTGAATCTTTTTGAATTATGTGTTTGTAACATACCACACACCTTCTTTGAGCATTAATCTTTTACTATTACTTTTAATAATCATTAATCAAATATATCTTTTCGTTATTGATTCATCAAATGTATAATTTTTTATCTTTTCGTGAGTAAGTATTTACATTTTGGTAATTATTTTTGCACTGAAAGAACTTCATTATTTGTCATATTTAAAATTAAAGTAAACACGTGTAAAAGTGAATGGTTGAAACAAAAGCTTCTTAATTATGTAGTAATAAACTTTGTGAAAAGTAGACATATAATTACTGATGAACAAGAAGAAAATACAAGAAGATTCATAAAATCATAATATTACGGCATGGACATTTGGGAACCACTTTTAGTTTGCGTAATATTACGGCATAAACATTTAGAAACCACTTTTCGTTTGCATAATATTACAGCATGGACTGTTAACAGGTTAATAAGTTTAAAACAAAAAGTACAGTTAAATATTTTACTTTGTACTTCTTGTTTGTTTTATTAAAAATTCATCATTTGATCTCTAATCTATTGATCTCTAAGAGAAACCATATATATTCATTTTATTGCAAAATCAGCATCTGGTAAAGTTACATCTCTTAATTGCTATCACCATTTTCTTACTCCAGATACCATTCTCTACTTATATAAAGCTGTTATGTGTCTTTTATGGAATTCTTTCATGATATTTAGATTGCTTCTTTTAAATTTGCTTTTTCTCATTTTAAGAATATTAAAAATACTTTGTAAATTTATTTGGATTAACTTTAATAGCCAAAAAGTCTCTATCTATGTTATAAGGTGGCATATCGTTTCTATAAGTACATCCATGTTTACTGCTCAAGCAAGCTATCATCTCTTACTTCTGACTGCTCAGTCTGTTGTCCAAAATTGCCTGAGAAATTGTATATTTATATAAAAGTAATTTTGAAATATAAAAATGAAAAACCAAATCTTATTTAGGCTGTACAATTTTTTAGATACACCAGATACAAATAGCTTAGATAAGAAATTATCAAAAACAATTCTTAAATTATTTTAATGAATTTAATCACGAAGAATTGTACTCGTTACTAGAACAATATTCTTAATGTGATTTTTAATCATTCTCGAAAAACTTTTTTTCAATCTAGCTATT